TCCTTATTGCGTGACTATGCTCTGCCCTTGGGGGGTATGGTTTGAAAGGGGCTGTGAGACTGAGTGTGGCAAATGTGCCTATGCCACAAGCTGCTGGACGAGCCAGCTAGCTAGCCTCCAGCCCAAAGACTATGGGCCATATACAAAGACCCTGTTCGTGAGTTAAATCTCCTTAGCCGCCATTAGCAGCTTTCTCTGGGTGTCCCTGAGTGGAACCAAAAGCTGGCTTTCTGATGGCTGTTCGCATGAACCAAATCCACGAATTGTCCTCAGCGGCACTTAGGCGCGATCATTATGGAACAAAATTCGGCATGAGGACTTCGTGGGTTCCCGGACAACTTAGTTTGCGGTTTTGAACCACTTTGAAATCCACCAGGAGAGCACTTTTTGGAGGGAAGGTGTCTGAGACTAAGGGGGGGAAAAAACGCTACCTAAGAGCCAGCTGGAGCACCACGTATTGCGGCTGCAGGAGCTCCCGATAGTTGACCTGCCATAGCACCAAACGCCCTGGAACTTGTTTGGGCATAGGACAACGTGTGAGGCCGGTCAGAACTTTAACACTGTGGCATTTCCCCTATACTACATGGATCTGAGCGCTATCTGGAGAACTTGGGTGCTCAGATCAGGGCTATTGGGGATGTATTATTTGTGGGGTTATTTATTTTAATGATGTTTTGGGATATTTTTTATTTATTTTTTGTAAATTCTTTATTTTCAGTTTTTTCAATTGTACTTTCAGATAATTTAGAGTACAGAATAAAGAATGTGGGGAGGGTACTCAACATGGGGGTTTACACATAATTATTCATTTTGCAGTACAATAGGGTTTAGGTATAGAGTTTTTTTGTATATTCATTACATTTGACAATTACCCCTCTGAGTTATGATTTTGGTGGGTCATCTGTTTGTTTCGTCATTTGGGGCATTTGTGATGCCTTTCCTTTGGTATTATTTTGTCCTCATCCAACTGTTATGAGCTTGTGGTCTGTGTTCCCCCTTTGGGGTCTATAGGTGTTGTATAGGGTGTTGGAGTGTGTGGGTGTCTGGTGGTGTTTAGGTCATTTGGTGTCTTTGGGTGTGCCATGTTTGGCTTTTGGTAGTGTAGAAGGTGTGGGTTGTGTTGAGGTTTGTGGTAGGTCTTAGGTCTTTCGGGGCTTAATCCCAGGTCCTTATTGTCAGTCTTTAATATTTAGGTATTCATGGTGTGGGTGTTGTGAGTGTCGATGGTGTGTCTAGTGCAGTGATTTAGGTTTTCATTTGGTGTCTTGTGGGTTAATTGTTCAGAGTACGTGGTAAAGGTTTGTAGGAGTGTTTTGGGGTATTTTTATGTTTGTTTGCCTCTGCTCCTGGGAGATAATTGGCTTACTGGTCTTTAACAGAATTATCTCCCAGGCACAGAGATCTTTGGAAGGGGCTTGCATTGTATTGTGTGGAGACCCCCTGCTCGTGGTTGTGTGTATAAGCAGGCAAATTGGCCTTAATAAACCCTTCAGAGACACCCCAGCAAAGCTGCGCTGGTTAGGGCCTGAAGCACTCCTGTGTCCCAGATGAGAGCTAAAAAGCGAGCTTGATAGAGGTACCCAGTCAGGATGCCATGCGGTCTATTACACGAAGAAGTTCTTTGCCACTCTCTTCTTTCCCTACATAACCAATGTGGTAAAGCTTCTTGATCTTTTAACTAGCTGCCTACATGTGCTCATCCTAATTTGTTAATTGTCATCTTTACATGTTTCTGTCTTGATGAGCAGTCTTTACAAGTCCTCGTTTGTCACATCATTTAGCTAATATGGGGCCTCCCTATAGAATCATTATGTTGTTCCTACTATAGTTAGTTATAGTTTATCTTGTTTATTACTAACAAAAGTGCAGTGCTTTGACATTTTCAGTTACATTTTTACCTGTTGTCTGTAGATATGCAAAAATGTCTGAGAGCTATGAATGCCTAACTATGCACAACTATAATAAAGAATGACAAATAATCAAACCTGTGCAAATACACAAAAGTTGCACAAACTTTCATACACAACTATGAAACCACTTAAAACAGTTGGCTTTTGTCTTGCACAAATAAAATCTCAAACTTAGCTGTAGTTACACTGTGGCTATTTTAACTTAAACTTTACAACTATTATTTTTATCTTTCACTTAACAAGTCAGTATTTTAGTGTATAAACCACGATGAGATGATCGCAGAACTTTGGCCAACTTACCTATAATTACAATCCCAAAGTGATTTTAAAGCTGAATGTTTTATCCTGACTTAAGTAATAATTCCCTTTCTGTGAGGGCTGTGGTACCTCCTATAGCCGTAACCTAATTTTCAAGTTTTCAGATGAATGAAATTGTCACTTGAATTTTTCTTGTGAACATCTGACAGGATCAGTCATTCTTAACAGAGTTCTGACAGATTCAAGTTTGGCAGTTTTTTTTTGTTTGAATCGCAGATGTTTTTTGAATTGTGAAGTTTCCTTTGATGTACATAATGCTTTAATTAACTTGGCATAAGTGCAGTTATTTATAAGAACACCTTTAGAGAGGAAAAAAACAATTTTATTTATGAAGCCATACAGTAACTATGCATACATATACTTTATTGAATAGTTAAAAGGACATGTATCCAGTCTTACCTACTAAAATTAGAAAAAAATATTTGCATAGTTTAGACAGCTCCTCAGAGCTGTCAATCATGCAGCCAGATGAAGATGTCATAGGCTAGCAGCAATTATTTTACAAATTACTTCAGTTTTAAGGCAGTCACACAGATGTCAGTAGGCTTAGGTTACTGTGTGTGTACCATCACCTTTGCAATCCTGCATAGCTGTGATGTTGCCTAGAGTGGCTCATTTGATGTGACACTTTAAGCATCAAAACTAGTACAGTTTATTGTAGTAGTTATGGTGCATGAAGTCTTGTTTCTATCAAACTGCTTTCACCCTCCAGAACTTTGAATAGATAATGTAAACATTAAACTTTTTTACTACCTGAGCTGAAGGCGAGAGGCTAGGCATTGTGTGCCTCTGTAGCCCCACTTTTGTCAAACCACGCAGATTGACAGGAAATTGGGGATAGGGGACAGAAGCATAACCTGTTCTATTAACTGAAGCCTAATTTTGAGTGACTGCCTCCTTTGGACACTACAAAGATGTTATAGTGCAGAATCCCTATTTTTGATTATTGGTGAAACTGTTCATCATGCTTTTCAAATGCTTAATTATTTTAGACCACTTTTCATATCCATGTATATGTATTACATTATCTGTAATGAAACTGAAGACCAACACATATTCTACAGACTTTAAAGGGACAGTGCAGGCACCAAAACAACCTATGCCCCTTGCATTTTTTATTTTGTTGTAGGCTCCTTTGTCCTGGTTTCCCTTCATTCTGTGTTTTATTAGTAAATCAGATTTTTTTATTATTATTATTAAGGTTTTTTACATGAATAATACAGATAGCAAAATGTAACATGCAGGTCATGAAGAAGTTATGGTCAAAGATCAATTAGATAGCAAATATGTTTAAACCAGGAGAAAATGATAGCTACATCAGGCAACCCATCCCATGGAGGCATTAACAAATAACTGCATTGACACTCCACTACCTATCAGACATGAAAGAAACCAAATTAAAGTATGCAATCAACTAGGGTATGTTGATCCAGGAATCGGGAGGAACGTTTTCCCCTGTTTTGTCACTATTAAGGTGCATTAGCATCAAAAATATTTACATATGGTTGAACGGGTGTGCAATTCTAGATATCCGTGATCAACTGGTAAGAACCCAACCATGCAGAGCAAAGCCCAAACTCTCACCAGATCCTCTCTTGTCTCATTGGTGTGTGAAGGATGCAACAATATTGACTTCACTCACCCCCCCACCTAAACCCCCACCCAATCTAAAGAGGCATAATAGGACATCAATAGACTTTGAGTACTCCATGAACCTGAGTTAAGGCATAAGTTACCTCCCTCATGGTGAACTAATTGAACCTTCTATTCCAGCCACATCTTCCCCCGCACACCTGAGTGCTTTCAAAGCAGGCCATCTATGCGGTTGGATCAAATTCAACGAAAAACAGAACTGAAACTTCTTGGAGGAATCATTCCTCAATAGAATGTAGGATAACAATGAGGAGAAAAATGTATTAAGTAGGTGGGGGAAAGAGGTAGGAAGGAGGTATAAGAATAAGAAAAGTGACCATCCCAAGGCTTGGACCCCACCCCCAACCCCTAGTGGTTCGTTCTGTGTTTTAAGTGTCCTTTATTAATTGTTACTTGAGACTGCTGAATTACTTACCTCACATGTATCTTCTTGACAGGGAATCATGCAGAATGTGCGTACATTACTCACGTTTAGAACAATGTGAGGAAGACCAGGATCAGCTGCTAAATCTCAGTCACTTCCTGCAAATCTCCTGCAGATCTCCTGCAAATGATGGAAGTTCAGATATGAATATCTGTCTTTTTTTTCTTTTACATTTTATGTGCAATTTTTTTTAGCACAGTATCTTCTAGAGAAACGGCTCAAACATGCAAGCCAAGATTCTAACTTTCTCTTGTTACCCCTATTATGGGTCATCATTTCATGCATTCTGTATTTACCATTGACGAATACGAAAGCTGTTTTGTTTGCTTACACTTCAGTCTAATAATGTATATATACTAATTTAAAATGTTTTCTTAGCAGGTTAAAAAAAAGAGTGACCTTTAAATGAACATTGTTATTGATTTTATTTCATGTGCAACTTTATGTATTTCTTTACACTAAACATTCTGAACTGTTTGAAAAGAGAGGCACTAGTTCACATGAATATCAGTTTAACATAGATCTTAGGTTCATTTTGTTTATAAAAGTACATTTCTTGACACACATGGTGTTGTGCACTAAAGTGAGCATTCAAAGTGAATTGAAGATTATGCTAGCTTCAGTGTACAGATAATCTTAATTTTAATAATGACAGGAGGCGAGTATTTTGCATAATCTTTCTTTACTAACTCCATAGCAGCAAAGAAAAGAGTGACATAACTGAGAACCAATCACAATGCAGTATAGAGCATAAGAGGTGTAACGTATGACATCATTTCCTCTTTAAAGCATGCGACATCACAAGATCACAATGCAGAAACAATAAAGATAACGTATAACATGAAAATAGAACATAAACGTATGAAGAATTCTTGACAGGGACGAGTTCTTGGTGTCAAGTGACGAACTTCCATGACAAGATGATGATGATATCTTGAAGGAAGTCTGCAGTGTCCTGATTCATCTGGTTAAACTGAAACGAGAATGTAAAAGGGTATTAGATTCCGGAGATGGTTGTGTAAAACAACAAGATGTCTATCCCTTATGATTAAGTAACCATCATACTGCAATAGAGCGAATACATTCCACCCATCTATTGATGCTACCTAAGCCATCCCACCCATATGAAATATCTGTATTAATCGTAAGAAGACAACTTAGGCATTTAGCACAAAAACATGTGAATAAAGAGATAGAAATATACATGAAGACAGAGGTGGGGAAGAGCGAAAGAGAGCAGGGTGGGAAAATACTCGCCTCCTGTCATTATTAAAATTAAGATTATCTGTACACTGAAGCTAGCATAATCTTCAATTTTATCACATGACAGGAGGCTTCGTATTTTGCAATTTCAACGCTGAGTAAGTAGAGCAAAAGCTGGGTTAGATGGAGGACGGAAATAGAACGTCCTAAAGGTGGATTCTCTGGTCCAGTCCGCCGCTCGTAAAATATCTGGAAGGGAGGCCCCCGCTGCGTAGGCAGAGGAGGCCGCGGCCCCTCGGACTGAGTGTGCACCAAAAGCCTGGTCTATCCCGGCGAGGGCTAATAGCCATCTAACCCATCTGGCCAACGTAGTAACCGAGACTGGAGCGTAGGGGCGGACGTAAGAGATGAGAAGTTGGCGATTGGAAGTAGGCCGCAACGTCGCGGTGGCTTCCACATATCGACGAAGAGTAGAGACCACACAGAGTTGTGGGTCTGAGGGAAAAAAGGGGTAAAAAACAGAGGAAGAGTCAGATTTCGTGCGTCTAGAGATCTGGAAGGTTACTCCCGCTGGGCAGAAGGTAAATGCGTCGGCATCGAAAGCGCGTACATCGGACACCCGACGAAAGGAGACTAGGCAGAGTAGGAAGGTGAACTTTGCCGTAAGCTGGCGGAGTGACAAGTTCTCATTAGGGGGCCAGTCCCGTAAAAACTGTAAGACTATGCCAACGTCCCAGAGTCTCGAGTATTTGGGTTCCGGGGGGCGCCGAAGGCGCATGCCACGGAGGAGTCTACAGATGAGTGGGTTCTGGCCCACTGGTGTCCCTTGAATCGGCGTATGAGCCGCTGAGATGGCTGAACGTATCACGTTGATGGACCGGTATGACTTCCCGGTTGTGAACAGAGAGGTGAGGAAATTCATGATGGAGGGAATAGGTGCCGTAAAGGGATTGAGATCCCGTCCCAGACACCAAGTGGTCCAGCAGTGCCATGCTGATAAGTAGCACCTCCTTGTTCCTGGCGCCCATGAGTCCCATAGGAGCTCTCTAGTTTCCTGCGATAAATCCTCGGTTCGCCAGGAACCCCTGAAAGAGTCCAAGCCACCAGGGGCAGTCGGCCCTCCTGGACCAGCGGATGGGGAAGTCCCATCGGGTTCCTGAGAATGGATGGAGTATCTGGTAAGAGGAGGGGATCCTTGTTCGATAGTTCCAGAAGATCCGGGAACCATGGTTGGCTTTGCCATAGAGGTGTGATGAGGGTCAGTATCACCCTCTGCCTGCGGATTCGGTGGAGAACCCTCGTAATCATCGAGAATGGAGGGAAGGCGTAAGCCCCGTGTTGTGGCCATTGTTGCAGAAACGCGTCGGTTGCTAGACTCTCCGGATCTGGGAGCCAACTGAAGAAGTCCTTCGTCTGACGGTTGTTGCGGGAGGCGAATAAGTCCAGGGAGAAGGGGCCCCTCTGTGTATCTAGCATCGTGAAAACGCGAGGGTCTAGTTGCCAGTCGCTGGCGTCCCTCCAGTGGCGTGAGTACCAATCTGCTGTTGTGTTGGTCTCTCCTGGTAAGTGTTCCGCCAATAGCGTGATGTTGCGAGGCAGACAATAATCGAAGATTTCCTTCGTGAGTTCTACTAATGCTTGGGAGCGGATGCCTCCGAGTCGGTTGATGTATCTTACCGCCGAGACGTTGTCCATCCGGAGAAGGATGCAGCAGTTGGATCGTTCTTTTGCCAGACTGCGAATGGCGAACGATCCCGCCAGGAGCTCCAAACAGTTGATGTGCATCGAAAGTTCTTGGGGAGTCCACACTCCCCCCGTGGAGGAGGTGCCGTCTGTTGCTCCCCAACCTGAGCGGCTGGCGTCTGACTCCAATATGAAGTCTGGTTGATTTCCGAATATCGCCCGGCCATTCCAAGCCTGCATGCAGTTCAGCCACCAGTGCAGTTCCTCCCGAACTTCGTCAGACATGGGGACCGGTTGGTCGTATGTTGGGTCTTTGCGAAGGAACTTTGTCTTGAGGCGTTGCATGGCTCTGTAATGCAGGGGTCCAGGAAAGATGGCCTGGATGGATGACGAAAGCAGGCCCACTATTCGTGCTAGTAGACGTAAAGGTATGGATGTCAGTCGAAGTACCTTCCGAATTTCTCTGCGGATGGTGGCAATTTTTGCGGCCGGGAGGCGATAACGAAACCCAGTGAGTCGAGGAGGTGTACAGCGTAGTCTGTATGTCTCTTTAGGGTCCTTGCATCCTCGTCGAATATCAAGATGTCGTCGAGGTAGACGATGCATCTTATGCCGTGGGCCCTTAGTCTCGCCATTACCGGCTTCATCATTTTGGTGAAACACCATGGGGCCGAACTGAGGCCGAACGGGAGACAGGTGAATTGCCAAGGTGTCCCGTGCCAGTAGAAGCGGAGGTATGAGCGGCTCCTTTCGTGCACCGGTATGGTAAGGTATGCGTCCTTTAGGTCTAGACGCGTGAACCAATTGTTGTCTCGCAGTAGGTCCCGGAGAAGATGGATACCCTCCATTTTGAAGTGGCGGTACACCACATAGGAATTGAGCTCCTTGAGGTTGATGACGGGACGGAATTCCCCAGTTTTCTTCCTGACTAGGAAGATATTGCTGTAGAACCCGGTTGAGTCCGGAGCTGGTTGGATGGCACCCTTGGCGTGTAAGTCCTGAAGTTCCATGTCTATCAAAGAAGCGTCTGCCCGTGAAAACTGAATCGGGCGAGGTGGTGCCTGTTGGAGTGGCCTCGTCTCAAATTCTATTTGATAGCCCCGCACCGTCCGAAGTATCCATGTGTCGGAGGAGAGGTCTGCCCAATTCTGGAAAAAAAGAGAAACACGACCTGCGATATGGCAAGGGGTTAGAGGCAGTATAGAATGGTAACTTACCGTTGGAGAATCTCGCTCGGGAGCGTCCTCGGCCGCCACGGCCACGTTCCGATCCCCTGAACTGATGGAATCGATGGCATGCAGATGGATCTGTGTAGAATGGTTGCGACCTGGTTGTGCGGGGGCCGGATGGCCAGAAGCGGCTGGTGGCACGGCCCCTCTGCCGACCAGCCCTCCCAAAAACACCACGGGTGTTGTGGCCGCGGAACACTTTCCGCATTGATGTTTGTGCCTTATTGAGGGAAGTGAATATATTGACCCTCTTATTAAGCTCAGTAAGGAAGGCCTCGCCAAACAATTTGCCCTGTGCCAAAGGGCCTAATTCTTTATCCCCCAGTTCGACAAGCTTGTCATCGATTCTGAAAAGTGCTGCTCGGCGCCTCTCCGAAGAGAGGGCCACATTAGTGTTCCCGAGGAAACAGAAGCACCTTTGTGCCCACTCTCGGGTATCTCGTGCCCACTCAGGCACCATATCTGGGGAGAAGTCATCAGCCCTTTCATAGGCATCATCTGCCATATCCATGATCCTCGCCAAAGGCCCGATGGCATCTAATAGTTTGTCCTGAGCTCCCTTGAAACCACGTTCCACACCCTTGCGTGGGTCCCGACCCCCGCGGGACATGAATGTGGTCATAAGCGGGTCGAATTCGGGGGTGTGTGCTACCTTATCTGGTAGGCTCGGGCGAGGACATTCAGATCTCATACGCTTTCTCACTTCTTTGTCCAGAGACTTCCGGAGCCAGAAGTGCATGAATCTGGTCAAGTGTTCGGGTGGTGTCCATTCTTCCGAACGGGGATGGCGAATGTTCCTAGGATCGAACATTCGGAGGCCAGAATTGTCCAAAAATATTTCTGAACCCTCTTGTGGGATGTCTAGGGATGTGGTCCCGGAGTCCTGGGGCTCACCCAGGGTCTGTTCCCCTATAAAGTAAGGGTCCGATTTGGCAGCGGAGTAGTCGGATTCCTCTTGGTCGGAGGCTGCCGCCTGCCATTCGTCAACCACGGCTAACGCGTGTGAGGGACCTGCGTCCTCTTCCCCAGAGGAAACCTGAGCGGGTTTTTGTGATGATTTGCTTGTGTCTCGTCTGCGTTTAGCAGGGGCCTTTCCTTTGGATTTACGTGGTCCCATAGCCTCGCCTTTCCAATGGCGCTTAGGGGGGTGGGAGCGTTCCCTGGAGGAATCGGAGTCTTCCGAATCCGCCCCATAATGATCCCGTTTGGGAATGGGCTTAGATGCGTCTTGTTCCAATTGGAACGACTTAGCCAAAGCTTTTTCCATGGATGCAGCAACCGCTGCTGCAATCATGGCCTGGAGATCTGAGGGATTTTGGGATTCTTCCATGTTGTTAATCACACTCGGGGCTCACCCGGTGAATATGCGTGAGGGCACTTGTGGTACTTGTGGCACAAAATGGGGAGGCCTGGGGACCAGGGGGTGGTGTAGAATAGGTAGTGGTTAACCTGAAAGCGCTATGCGACTGGTAAGTCAAGCGAGGGCTGTCGCTGGGGCTCACCCAGGAATTTGGAATCCTGCATAAACAGGTCCTTTCAGCAGCACATGAAAGGGGGCTCACCCCTGCCAGAATAAGGGTATTCCCACTGGCTGAAACCGACCCCAAGTGCAAAGCACTAACCTGATACTGGTCCCACAGTGAGCTGATAAGGCTGCAGAGTTCAAAGAGTATTCCAGAGTATTTGTGCAGTAATAATAGGCTGGAGTAGTAAGCAGGATAGTAGTAGCCGTTTAAAATGGCCGCCGGACTGAAAGCAGAAGGAAATGGGAGGTTTTAGTACCTCCCCTAGATGTTTTGAGCGGCAAAAAATTACCCGAACGGCGGGCGTTCGCGCTTACGAATCAGCCGAACGGAAGCG